AAATAAAATAAAATAAAATAAAATAAAATAAAATAAAATAAAATAAAATAAAATAAAATAAAATAAAATAAAATAAAATAAAATAAAATAAAATAAAATAAAATAAAATAAAATAAATAAAATAAAATAAAATGGAAAATGAATTAAAATAAAAAATACATAATTGAGTAATAAAATTATAAAAAAAAGTTGAAATAAAATAAAATAAAAGCAACCACAACTTATATTTAAAAATATCATATAAACTAAATTAAAGCAAGTCAGAGAAGGTACTAAATTAAAAATAAATTCAAATAAAGTAAAATAAAGTATTATTAAAAAACGTACATATGTACATGTTTTTATGTATATACATATGAGCCCTTTTCAGTAATTGTTTAAAAGAGAATTCCATTAAAAACGTATGAAGCATTTTAATATATTTGGACTACGCTAATGCAACTGCACACGAATTTATTTATGAGTGCATGAATACAATACACAATCTAGGTGACGCTGTGAGTAATTAGTGCGAACTTTTTATTAACAAAAATGACTAACCGTATTTATGTACATACATAAATACATAAATGTGCATGCATTTATAGTATGTAAACAATTGTTACTACGCACATTCTAGCATTACATAAAGCTGAAGTACTGTAAATGTTATTATTGTATGGCCATAATTGTGGCTCTATTTATAAAGACAAATGTAACCAATGCATATAGTATGTAATCTGCGAGCAGAGATACTTGCATGCATAAACATATATGTATCTATGTATGTTCATAAGTATTTCAAGTAAATATTTTGCTAATGGGACAATAGCTAGAAGAGTAGTATTTTTTTTAATGAGCTTTGAAAGTCTGAATAATTTTGACACAGAGATGGAAACGCCGCTTTAAAAAAAAATTTGCTTACTTTAGGAAGTTTATCTAAATGAAATATATTGTTACCTAAACGTGAAAAGGTGTCAAGTCCATTTTTTGATATTATTCAGGATAGACTAAAGTAATTTTCGAAAAATAGTCGACTTGGCGCCTTTTTCAACTTTAGATAGCGACATGTATGTATTCCTTGAAAGGTTTTCTTCCAAATCTTTGCTTTTTTATATTAATATAATTATTATATTTATAAAATAATAATTATTAAAAACTTGTAAATAGGTATATACATATGTAAGTGTATTAAGCACTCCTACCGCCATAATAAAAGTCTATATTTTGCCAATCTATCGTAATATTTGCTTACATTTTTTTTTTACTTTCCAGAGGTTGTTTGGATCCTTACACGCGATCGTACTCCATCTGCAGAAATTATTAAGGTGGCACAGGATGCAATTACTGCGAAAAATTTGTCATTGAGCTACTTGGAAATAACCGATCAATCGAACTGCAAATAGTTTGAAGCGATACGGTTTTGGCATATGTCGAATATGAAAATGATATCGGTTTAACATAACACTTGTTAACCAAGTAAATATCTGTTCATAAGTGTGTCAATAATTTTGTAAATATTGTTGAAAATAAAATATGTATCACAAGTATTTGTTGAAATGAGCTACATATATTTTATTTCTTTATAACCAAGCGCCCTTGCGCACGAAAAGGACAGAAACTTTATTCATAAAGCGGTACTAATTTTTATATTATCAGTTTCACATTTTTCTGCTGGGTTACTTTGTGAACATACGAGCATATGATTTAATTTTTTTTTTTTTTAATTTTCATTTAAGATCTCAGTTCAAAACGCTTTTAGGCCTTTCAAGCCAGGGCGGCCGTAAAAAGCTATACCGTCTTTCCACACTGGAATTATATATTTTTGGAGATTTTTTCATTTGCACACCATTTTATTCTGCACTTCACAGATTCTTTTTCGTAATTAAGAAAAACCGAAGCAAAATCAAAAGTTATATGTTCCCGTCTAATAGCATTCGAAGCCAGACCCTCCTGAAAGCTAACAAAAAGTAGGAAGCATCTCCTTGCACTCAGCTACAGCCACAACATGTAAGCGTGTTTCAAATATTAGTATTAGTATTATTATTGCACCATTGTTAAACCCTTATTGATGATGATGAGGTCGCTGCAGGAAGAGTTGCGATCAGACCTAGGCGGAATTGGGTGGTTAACTGACTCTTGCATTCTTTGAAGCTTCGGTTCCGTCTCAGGTAACACGAATTCTCTCTCGTTTCTATTTAAATCCTTCAAGATCTAAAAAAATTAAATCTGAAAACAAAAAAAAAACACAAGAATAGAGCACAAACTCGTATACTTCATTTCCTGGGTACGGTTCGGCCATTTGTAAAATTACTTTGGGTTATTGTGTCCAGACGCGTTATGAAACACAAAATTTTAGCATACATATGTAGGCAAAGGATCAGGGACCGAGAAAGCGTTCGATTTAGTTCTGCACGAGAACAAAATGAACGTTCCAACAAAAGAACCAAAAGAAAATAAAAGTATTGAGAGCAGTTTGAACGGGAACTAATAAAAAAACAAGCGAGATCGGTATTTAGCACAAACTTTCATTCTTTTGTACAATCGTGAGAGAAAAACTACCTAATAAGCAAATAGGTGATTCGAATATTGGGTTTGCTTAGTTGGAAAATCGAATCGAAATCCGATAGATTTTCATGACATCAAACGAAACAGGTATCGGTTTTCATTTCTGACAAAAATCAATGCAGAGTCAGATTCTGCTCTTATTTTTGCCGGAGACAAACCGCTAATTGAATTTGAAAAAAGATTAAAAAAAAATCTAATTTTTTCAACTTTTTCAAAGTACATACAGAAAAATTCAAATATTTTGCTAAGCCATTTTTGCTGATTTTTCGTTTTTCTGATTAGCCATATCACGTGTCAGAATGTCACGTAATTGATTTTTATCACTTATTTAACTGTGAATTCATTATTAATGTCGAAAATAATTATTCAATCTGTGAATGGGTCAATGGGGTAGCATAACGAGTAGTATTCCTTTGAAGTTTGTTTATAGTAAAAGTGATTGTACTGACAACCGTTTCTGATATGGGAACATCAGCATGCCAACGTAGACATAAGTCCGTAATAAGTATGAATATATTTACATATTTACGCTGTACTTATACAATTGAAATTTGTAAAACGAGATGCATTGATAGCCATCGATTCTTTACAAATTGTTTACAATAAATACATAGATTTTTTTTATTAATCATTTTCGTTTTATTTTATTATGTATTTAATCAAATAATCAATTCTATTGACGTTACGCGGCTAGACATTTAAGGCACATTGATGTTGTTGCTATTGCTCTTTATTGGATGGGGCTATAAATTATGCGCAAGTCGCATGAGGAGCTTTCAGTTGATATCCGGCAGTGGCGCGTTCAACTATTCAATTCTAAAACATAATTAACCAGGCTAGTTACAGAACTGTTTATTGTATTTGTATTGACGCAACTAGGAGTAGATGTGAAAAATTTTTGTTTTAATCCAAGGAGCATCGTTTTTTTATTGAAAAAGTAAAGACTAAAATAAAAAATTAAAAATTCTAACTCACCGGCACTTTTTAGGTTCATCTGAAAGTGAAATAATATGAAAGTGAATTAAAATCTTCGAGGAAAAATTTAATATAGTTAATCAAAAACCATAGCGAATTTTGTTTTTTGTCGAAAAAGATTAAATCAATAAAAGATATGCAGTTCCAGCTTCGAGTTAGGTAAGTTAAAAAACCCTATTCGTATACGTTCAAAGTGTATGAACTCGAAATATATTTTGGGGTTATGAGGAATTTACGCGTTTCCATGAGTACCCATATAGTTTTCGCGGTAATCTACAAAGCTTTCTTGTATGTACATTGCCGGAAAAAGTGTTGGCAAAGAGAATTTTTTTGCAATGAATGCAACAACTTTTATTTAAACTGTTTTCCGCTAAAAAATATGGTTCATAATATAATAAAAAACATAAAAATATAATTTCTAAAATTTGTGCAAACCTCAGGAAAGTTCAATAAATTTGCATAAAGATTTGCAAGTTTTTAATCAATTTTTTTTTTAGAATTTTTTCGAGTATGCAGTTTTGTATTCCATTAAATTTTAGTTCAATAAAGTTCAAGTTCAAAACAGCTGAGACCTACCGTTGATTTTTGGCAACTTTTTTATGAATTTTCTACAATTTCGAAAGTACTTTTAATGGAAAAAATGTAAAACACCATCGGCCAATACAATTCTCAAAAATCAACGCGCGCGCAGTTGTAAATCCTTGCAGCTTGAATTATGGGTACTAAAATTTAATGGGCTACAGATCTGCATACTCGAAAAAAATTTGTATTGAAAATTTTGAAAATCTGTATGCCAATTTATTGAACTTTCATGAGTTTTGCAAAATTTAAATAATGTATATTTTTATGATTTATCTTGCAACGCGGTAAGGAATGGATTCAGTTCTATATAAAACTCGGCAAAGGAGGATATCATGATTTTCCGTAATTAGCGAGTTTTTGTTATAGCGTGCTTCACTCTTTCTAAACTTGCCATATCCTTTGGTAATTTTCGGATCAATTTGCTGTTCTTCATGACAGATATTCTATTCCCACCATATCGCTAGTTTGCGTAAGCCTTAAAAAAATTAATTTTGCGTATGTAGAAATAACTTCCAGTTTTCTTTATATTTTGTGGAAGAAATTCTTGACGCTTTGTGCCAATTTGGCTTATACAAATATAGCCTGCCTTTAAAGCGGTTTTACTCCTTATCAACGTAGCTTGCCAACAATAACTAGAAAATACTAGATACTAGATACTAGATACTAGAAATACTAGAAAATTAAGGTTTAATAAAATTTGAATCTTCTTGTTAAGTAGTTCAGCGATTTGCAATTGTGCTACGCTTTTAACAAACTCTGCTAACGCGGCAGCACTTCTAAAATACGGCCATGCTATGCATCGAGACTATATGGTCAACCTTTTTGGCGTTTGACACTTGTCTATTCTAATACCGAAATGGGAGGCTAACTCTACAACTAACTTTTCAGTGGACTTTATTTCGACTATGACTACGTGCCAATTACTTCAATCCTATTTTAAGCTAGTTTAAAAGGTTAAATAACATCAAGTAAGGGGACTTCATATCCTTATTTAACGAATCTTTAAATCAATAAATAATTTTTTTCTTTTTAGTTCTTATTGTATTAAAAGTCTGTTGTTGTTGTTTTTTTAACTATAATTTTATTACTCATTAGGTTTCTTTTTAGGAAAGGTCTATATTTCCTTTTTATTCTTTTAATACAAGGACTAACCTTGAGGCTATCATTGGAGGTGCAATTAAACCGAAACAACAACAACATGAACAACACTCATTGCAAAAGAATATTAGACCTCCAATGATAGCTCAAGGTTAGTCCTTTTATTAAAACAAGAAAAAGGAAAGGTGTGTAAAAAATAAACCTAACCTTTATAAAAACATATATATTATTTGTAATATGTATTTTTGTAATAATTATGATACGTAATTACATTCATTCTTTTACAGTTTCTACGCAGCATGTTTGCTGTTAATCGCCCAACTGGCAGTGGCTCAAGTACCATTTCCGCGCAGTTGTCCAGAGGTGAAAGTGCCCACGGATTTTAATGCTGATGCTGTAAGTAAATTATATGCATACATACATGCACTCATGTAAAACAAGAGATAATTTCAAAAAAATTTTTATCTTTTCAGTACATGGGTACCTGGTATGAATATGCCAAATATCCGCATATCTTTGAAATCGCTAAACGTTGCATGTCTGCGCGTTACAGCAATAAAGGCAACAACACAATTGGTGTGTTGAATACATCGATTAATACAATGTGAGTATGAGAACCTGATTTTGTTTAAAAGTTTTGGAATGTAAGGTTCAAAAAATTGAAAAATAATGGTAGAGGCTTTTAAAAAATAGTATTTTTTGTAAAGATGGTTTTTACTTATATAATTAGCAAAATGTTACGAAAATGATCTTCAATTGCGATTAGTATTTTACGATTTATTCTCTTTTTTCAAATGTTCTTTTAATAAAAGTTGATTTCATTTTAATATTTTAGCACCGGTCACATAACAAATACCACAGGTGTTGCCCGTATGCTTGCTCCATCGCAAATAAATGTGCTCTTCAGCAAATTTCGTAAGTATTTTTCATAATTTAGGTAACGTGAGAACGAGGTTATAAAAGAAAGGCAAAATTTACAAAATTGGTTAATAAATAAGTAGTTGGGCACAAATGTTTTTTTTTTGTTCCTTTTAAGATATTTACATTTTCAAACGCTATGCCTCTTTGGTTACATATAAGAATATTACTCTTGATTTTGTCAAAAATTTGGTTACTGTTATCGTTGCATATAAAATATCTAATGATTTATTGTGCATTAGATCGTACCATAAAAAGTACGCCTTAGTCTAAAGTACTTTTTCAAGGCAATTCAGATCGTTTTTTTTGGGCCAATTTTTTTGATCGTGTTTCAACATTTTTCATTATATCTTCGATAGGTACGGTCGGATGTTAAAGTATAATATGCGGGTTTCTGGTCACTAGAAAAAATTGTTTGTTCCGCTCTTGTGCTTACCCTCCATATCTCAGTCCTAAACGCGCTGACGTACCACCCTAATGTTACTTAATTAAAACTCGCCAAAAATCATTAAACTTTTATCAATAAAGTATTTCGATACCTGGCAGCCCTAATACGAAGGCAGTTTTAAATTATTTTTGTTTTGGCTTAACTTGGGGGTCGCCTTTGTTCTAGTACTGTCCCAGCATATCTCAGTCATTAAACTTTTGCTAAAGAAGTAGTTTGATAATTCAAGTAAAACTATTTAAAACTATTTTTATTGCTGAATTTATTTGTCACCGAAAAATGTAAAAAGGCAACCTCTAGGTTTGGGAAAAAATGTTTATTTGCAAAAATATTTTTGATTTAGAGGTGTACGTAGAACTGTTTTTTTTTTGTTTTCTTATAAGGTGGTACGGACTTATGTACACATATTTAGACTTGTGAAACTTATAAAAGCATTAATATTTCAATTTGACTTTAACACCTGATTTTTGATTGTATTTGTAGCCAATTCCGTTGATATACCAAACTACATCGTACTTGGAACTGATTACAAGTCATACAGTGTGGTCTACAGTTGTACAAACATCACCGCATTTGCGCACACAAGTAAGTTGATAAAATAAAAAAAAAATACATATCGTTACCTTAATATAGAAAGGCCCTATCTAGCATTTATGTTCCTTAATGGAGTGATGAAAATCCTCACTAAAAAATTTAGTTCGTTTGCTCCAAATTCATTTAAAACCCTGTATTTTATTGAATACTGTAACTAATTTCATAGTGTAGGAGTTACAAAAATGGATTTTGAACGAAGAGAAATTAAGGCGTTTCTATATATATTATGATAACGTTACCCTTTCGATCCTCAGTAAATACAGCTTTCCTTTTGTTTGTTCATCATTCATTAACTTTTTATAGAAATTTAGCATATTCTAGGTGGAAGTCCGATTTCAAAATTTTACAGAAATTTGTACAAACAAGTGCGTTCGGGGAAAAAAACATGTCAACATAGAGGGGTGCCATCCTAATAAGTTAATATTTTTAGAAAAATTTCGGATACACAGTCCATTCAAACAAAGAAAAATAACAATACCTGTTTAGACAAAAGGCATCAAATCCGTTAATCGCTCTAATTATGGTGCTGAAAAACAAAATTATTATGCAATCCATAAAACAATTATGCTCGTCGCAAATACATAAATTAAAGCGTGCCATAATTAATTTGAGCCATACGCAAATCATGTTCTCATACGTACAGGTACTGTAATACAAATATATATACATACGTAAACACGAATGGTTTGAGCCGACTCACATATCTACATACTCATGTGTATACATATCCATATGTATGTGCCATTGTAATTGATACAAAGTGATGATAACGCGGCGATCCGTCGCATTTGGTAACTCTTCCGCATTCCCTTTTCTGTACATGCACGCCATTCGATTGTTTGTACAGTAGAAAGCATACGAATCGTACTTTTTAAATGAAATCAATTCAGAAGTTATGCCGAGCATGCAACAATTTTTAGAAACGAAGTTCTTAAGAATACTCTTTCAAGAGGACGCGATAAAAAGTGGATAGAGGTTGTGATGATTTGAAAGGTAGCTTTTTCCAATATATATGACCATTAGGGTGGTAAAAAAATGCATGGGAAATAGTAAAGTTTTGTGTTTTTTTATTTTTAAATCAAAAAATATTTAGAGGTCGCTCAAAGCGCGCAAAATTGTCCATGCATTTTATATGAGGGGAAAACTACTTTTCGCAAATATGGCACAAAATTCTTGAAAATCATAATTTTTTGATCGGAAAACTCTACTTCTCTTCAGAAGACTACCAGTAATAGTACTCAATTGTTTATTTTACTATTTTTTAATGCTAACGATTTTTTATTGCATTTTTTGTGGCTTTTGGGGGTCTTATAAAAATAGTTAGTAACAAAAAATGCTTAAATAAACCATTAGATATTGTTATCTGAAGTCTCTTCAATAAATAGAAACAAGGTGTTCTGCCCAAAAAGTTTTAATTTTCAAGAATTCTATACCATTTCTACCAAAACTATTATTTAATTAAAATTCCGGCTTTACTTTTTTTGAACACCCTAATCTACATACATAAATGTATATAAACTTAGCGAAACAACATAATGAAAGAAATGCCGCATATACCCATGAATTTGCCGTTTTTCCGCTAATTAATTGTGTAAAAAATAATTTTGTCAAAGATAAAAGGCTGGGCTTTGTATCCGAATTTGCCGTTCCAAAATAAGCTAGTTTACTTTTGAAAAAAATAATAAAAATTTTCGGAAACATTTTTTTAAGTGTTCATTAATTTTTAGAACAAAAGATGATTGTGTTTTTATGAGCAGTTGTTTTTCATGGCAGAATACACTCGGATGTTTGACATTGCCTGCCGAGGGGCCGATCGCTATCAGAAAAAAATATTTTGTTTTTTTGTATTCTGCTGTTGGGTTGAATTGGGCTTGAACTCAGGCCCTGCAGAATAATGGTAGCGCGCACTGCCAGCCACTGCTTAATTTAGTGGCCAATGCTTTTTTAAGTGCTTTTTATTTGCTCATAACTCTACTAAATTAACTATTCTTTCTAAATATTACGATACTTTTAATCAGATATGCAAATACTTTTCACTTTCAGAACTACTTTGGATAATGACCCGCGAACGAAAGCCTTCACCTGAAGCTGTGAGTACAGCTAAGAAAATCATGGATGACAATAATTTACAACAATCGTTCCTACTGATCGCCGATCAAGAAAATTGCCCAGAGGTGTATCCCAGTTATGGCGTGAATATACATTTTGGAGGTGATAACTCTAACACCAACAACAATGCTAATAAAATCAACAAAACCACCAACAACCAAGCGGATGCAGCCGACGATGTTATTTTCGTCTCAAAGCCCATAATTGCTACGGCCACAAGCACCCAAAGTCCCACTCCAGCTGACATAGATGAATTGGATACCACATCGGAGACGGCGGCCAATGTTATTGAAATGGCATGAGAGTTGTTTAGGCGCATTTGGCAGCGCATCGTCGACATGGTGTCGTGGTTCTTTGCTTTGGCTTAAATGAGTTTTTCGAATTTTTATACAAATACTTTTATCACGAGCCTTTTAACGGCTTTTATTTCACTAAGTTTTTATGCGAGTATTATTTAGATTGTATTAAGTAGTTTTAAGTACCTGATTAAATAAAAAGCATAATTTTTCAAAGAGCTGTTTTTAGAAGTATTGCATAATGAAGCTATCTTTAGGGCTAAATGGGCATCTAAGTTTTCCAAAGACGTGTGTACATTTAACCGGACACCTTACAAGGAAAAAAAGTGTGCCGTTCACTCCTGAGTCTAAAATATTTTTGCTAGAAAATTTCGAATTTGTTATTTCTTTGGCCGCTCTTATGGGCGCCTTTTATATTTTTCGCTGGCACCTACATACATAAAAGAAATACTTTTAATGCAGTTGTACTGGAGAAGCTGTGTGTTCATCGAATTTGAATAAATTATAATAGATAGATTGGCGCTTACACATATGTTAGTGTTTTGCCGAGCTTCTCCTCCGATTTGTGGCGTGCGCCTTTATGTTGTCACACAAAGCGGAGGGACCTACAGTTTTACGCCGACTCCGAACGGCGATTGTATTTTTATGAGAAGCAGTTTTTCATGGCAGAAATACACTCGGAGGTTTGCCATTGCCTACAGAGGGGCGACCGCTGTTAAGAAAAAACCTTTTTTCTAAATTTTTTTGAGATGTTGCTTTGACCAGGGCTCGAACCCCTGCGACGTAGAGTGGAAGCGCGCACTGCTTACCATTAGCCGCTTAGTAATAGCCTAAAAAAAAATATATGTTGTGCTTGGTTTTCATTAGGTCAAAACTAGAGATGGGCACGGGACCAAATATTAGCCTCCGAAAGCGAGATGTTGGCCTTCGAAGTTCGAAATTGGACCTGTGGTAAAAAATCATTTTTATTTATTGTATGTAAACAACTAAAAAAGTAAAAATATGGACGTGATCCGCCGTTTGCTCTTATTGAAACGATATATAACTTTTTTGGTGCAAACTTATATTACAGGCGCTATAAGGGATACGGGGTCAGATTTTCAAAAAATTTAAAACTTTATATATCAAAAAGTTTACTTTTTGCTGGAATTCGAATTTTTTGTTAAATTTTGTTTTGCAAACAATTTTCAATAAAGAAAATGTCTGCATTTTTAAAAAGATTTACCTTTTTTTTCGACAAAAAACCGCAGTAAAAAAATTCTTTTACACATTGGTTACCAGCAACCATAGCAATAACGTGGTGGAATTGGAACAAAATACTGACAAAAAATGTTACACTTGAGGAATTTCGCCCCATACATATAACTACACAGGGATTATGCTGCAAGAAATTGATTAGTATTCGAAAACACAAGCTCCGAAATAACGTTTTTGATAGTGTCATAATCTACTACTTCAGATCGAAACAACGTATAATTACGTGCAATAGTTGCTTTATTTAATTTTTATTAATTTTTTTTTTAGCAATTGGAATAATTTACAAATGGAAGTAATTAAAAGAACATTTGTTTGTTACCTTATCTATTTGACACTTGTAAGGCAGCAGTCTAATTTACTTTCCTAAACAAATATTGCCTAATATTATGGAACACGAATGCATTTGGATGTATTCAAAATAAACTACGATGAGGAAACAGGTGTTAAATCTTTTATATTTTTGTATGCATAACCCCCTCTTTGATAAGGCTGTTAACTTGTTTCTTCTCACAAGTTACTCATACGTAATGACGAACCCTAAAACAGCGGCCCCTATAGGAAAGATTTCCATTAACAATTATTTTGTAAGCAAAAAGTTTTAGTAAATGATAGATCGAGCAAGATTATTTTTTTTTATTTTCTTATCATTTTATATATTATTATTATTATTTCCTACATATGTGTTTATGTATATGAATACATGGAACGAAAAGTTAAAATCTAAATGCTTGCAAATTCCTGTCAAGCTCCAAAAATCGGTAAAAGTTCCGAACAAACACGGCAAGTCGAGAAAAAATGTTGAATAAACCAGCAAAATTTTGAGGTTGCCCGAGGAAAGTCTTACAAACTCCAGAAGAACTTTCGAAAATTCGCAAAAGAAAAATTTAAAAGAAAGTGTCGAAGGGTAGTGAAAAACTGTGGTAAATAATGATAACCTAAAAAAATTTTACAGTTCGAATAACTCGAAAAAAAATCTCAAAACTTTTCGAATAAAAAACTTAATCTCGAAAAAATCACAAGACTTGACCATAAAACCAAAACAAAAATTTCGCGGTTTTTCGAACATATTTCCACAAATACCAAAAAAAAAAACAAACCACGAAAAATCTTAAAAAAATAGGGAAATCACATAGTTTAGGGTTAAAATCTTAAAAATTACGCTCACCCAAACCAGACTGGGAAAATATCGAACAAGTCAGAAAAATCTCATGTTTAGAAACAAATTTTTATTGTATGTATTGAAAAAATCTCAACAAATAACGAAGCCCCAAAAATAACTCAAATAAGGGAAATCTCAAAGTTTTGTTTTTAAATCTGAGAAAAAAACGATCACCCAAGTAATAAATTAATGACACGAATATATACGGAGAGACAAGGAATTTTTTGAAAAACCAGAAAAATCTTGAGCAAATGATATAAAACCCTGAAAAAGTTCCGAACACTATCGAGTAATAATTGAGAATAAAAATAATGAAAATGTTTGAAAAATCATGAGAAAATAATGAAGCCCATAAAAATCCATGACTGCCCCGAATAAAACCACAAAGTGACGAAGAATTTCTAATAAACTAGAAAAGCCTCGAAAACAAGCCAAGAAAGAAATCCATAAAATTTTGTTGCTTTGGATATTATTTTCTAAATAAAACAAACAAAAAAATGTAAAACCCAAATTAAACAAATAAAAAATGTCCGGAAAACTTTGCCTACAAAACGGAAAGCAAACATTAGGTGGCTTTCTAACGAAATGCTAACCTGAAGCTAATCTAAGTGTAGCTTCGAAAAACCAAGTTTTCAAAAGCAGCATTATTTTCATGGGTACCAATACTAAATTCAGGTATTGAAGTACATATGGATTTTAAATAATTAATAGTTGAAATTAGCCAAAGAATCGACTTTAAGCCTTGAAAATATTAAAAATAAACTTCGAAAAATATAAACCAATTTAGATAATTTTCAACTAGTTGCAAGCTAGACCACATCCAAGCACTTCGCATGGGGAGCTGGTAACGCATGCCAAACATGCCGATTTCGAAATTACCATCATGCCACCCCGAAATTACATTACGGTTTTCCTACAGGTATGCTTCCGACTAATTAGCCCTCTTGCTACATAAGTGTTAAAAATTAATATTGAACTGTGAAAATGCGACAAAGCGACAATAACTTGTAATAAGTATGTAACTAATATCAAAACAAAAGTAAGCGACAAAATGATCACAGATATGCTTGTAAATATTGACATTACACTAAGCTTTAGATAAAGCAATTGTTCGCGAGCCAGTATGAGTGAGTATACGTACATATGTAGATATATCTTTTTTTATTTAGTATGTGGCGTATAATTACCGGCGAAACAAAAAAACACAAAACCGGTTACGACGCTTTGCTATAAAACCGCGACTCACCCGATCGCCACCATTGCTACTTGGCACGCTGAATTCGTTGGAAGTTCTTAGTGAGTTCTTAAAGACCGGTTGAGTTTTGTTTTTAAAAAATACACAAAGTTAAAACTAGATCCGAATCAAGATGCAGAAGCAACAATTGAACCTGTAAGTTTCACAAATATTTAAGATGAAGCACATAAATAACTGGTTGTTGTTATTTTAAATATTTAAATTTTTTTTTATAAATTTTTATCCTTCTAGCGCCTGCTTGTCAGCCATTTTGCTAGCATCCACCCAAATGGTGGCCAGTCAAGTTTTCAATTTGGGCCGTTGCCCCCGCACTATCACCACGGTGCAAGACTTTGATGCATCTAAAGTAAGTAGTGCTCGCATAAAGAAATAATACGTGCATTAGGGTGGTCCTTAAAATCAATTGATGATTTTTCTTCAATCTCACCTTTTAATCGGTAATAACACGATCACAGATATCACATATAAATTTCGGCCCCGATTGGAGACGATTAACCCTCTAGTAGGCTGAACCGCCTCCAGACGGTCGTTAACTAAACACGTATTTAGTGCATTCTATATTCGAAAAGCACGATCTTTAGAAAAAAAGCGTACCTTTGCAACGATCCGTTATGTTGATCCGTTTTATTTTAATCGGCAGTTGAATCACAGATTATGAAAGACTCGGTTAAAATTAATTATTTCTTGCTATTAAGTAATTTCGTAATTAAAGATATTTTTTCTTTTGAAAAATTTTTTGATACAAAAAAATTCAGTGGGTTTCGTAGTTAAAAGCACAGTATTTTGATATAAGTTTTATAATTATGTCACCATTCGAAATGGAAAAAATTGCTTTCGAACACAGACCGTCTACAGACCGGCTTGCCGACATATAAAAACCCAGTTTGCATTTTTGACCGTCTGCAGACGGGATTGCCGGTTCGTAGGTCAACATTGTGTAAGAGAAAGCTGAAAATACGTCAAAGTATATCGGCGGGCCCGTCTCCAGATGGTCTTGGTTTTTCTCCCCTGCAGGAAATGGAACATCGTTTTTGGATTTCTCGTCCTAAAATCACCCATTCCTGAATTTTTTAACTCATACAAAAATTTGCCTATTAGAGGGTTAAGGCGTGTCGCACAAGGGGCATATCACAGATTCCTCTATAGAGACACAAAAAATTAAAATAATTTTTTTTTTTCATCTAATACCCAAAATCGATACTACCATAGTCGAAGATATAACATACATATGTATAAATCTATTTGATGAAAAAAAAAAAAAAATAATTTTAATTTTTTGAGTCTCCATCGAGGAATCTGAGCTTTTCGCCCTGTGCGACAGGCCTTAACCGTCTCCAATCGGTACTAAAATGTATATGTGATATCTTCGACTACAACGGCATTGACTTAGGGGTTGAGGATTAGGACATCTGATTTAAAAATTTACTTTACTCCTTATATGTACCACCCTAATGTACATATACATAGCTATGCACGTATGAAGTGAGAGTTCAAGAGCAGGGTAATTAAGGAAGAGTTAAAGTAAGAGCGCGTCCACAGACGGTTAAGGTGGCAATTGGGGAGAGTAGGGGGAAATGAATTTAACAAATGTTTGTAAAAAGGGATGCCACGCAAAATATTTAAAGGACTTCATATACATTTTTTTTTAATTCATACATACATATTTTTCATCTTCCTCCTATAATGTCAATAAAAACTTGATAGTTGGAAGCATTTCCGATAATGTTCCTTGGGTTGCCACGTTGAAAATCCAATTCACTTAGTTTTTGAATATTAAACTTTTTACAAAAACATTTATTTCCACCTTCCTCTTATATAACTAACAAAGCAGAATTTTTTGTTGTTTTGGCGTTGCCATATTGTTTATTTTTAAATGTTTTAACTTTGGGTAAATACTAAATATTTTTGCAAATACCCTTGTTTTCTACTCCTTTATAGTTAATAAAGAAAAAGTGTGACACTTTAAAGGTATTTCCTGTAATTCCGTCAGGGTTGCCACACTGTCTTAATTCTTTGAATATATAAGACATTTTTTTTCCAAAAACCTATTTTTCATCTTCCTTCTATATAGGCAATAAAGTAAGAAATTTTTCTTGGAGTTGCCACATTTTTTTAAATATTTGAATTTTTTAATTTTTCGACTATAAATTAAATTTTTGTGTCAAATACGTATTTTTCCTTTCCTACAATGAATATATTTATTAAGCTATAATTTTGATATTTTAAAAGTATTACTGTTGACAAAATCTGCATACTTTTACTATGATATTAACTAATAGTTTTTAATGTTGAGAGAGGGAGTAAAAAAAAAATATTTTGTAGGCGCTGCAAGGCACGCGGGGTATTTGCTAGTTGAAGATATGATTTGCTAATGAAAGATTTCATTGAACATCCGTATTATAATATTTAGCTTACTTTATCGATTTTTCAAATAGGTGGCAGCTCGCTTCAAAAATATTTTCGACCGTAAATTTCCTTAAACCCCTTTAATTTGATACCTGTATTGCAATATTAAACTTTAAACAGGTGGCAACGCTCCTCAAAAATATTTTGGGCAGCTAACTTTGCTAAATTTATTTAGTTCAGTACCCGTATTGCAATTTTTAATATACCGTAGCAAATAAATTAAATTAAAAAGTTTAAACAGGTGGCAACCTTCTACAAAAATATTTTCGGCATTCGGTGCAATTCACAGACGGGCAGGCAGTCAACATTCTAAAAAGTATTGATTTGGTTTCTGTTGCTCTAATAAAGACCCCGGATTGATTTTTCTTTTATATATTTATGGTCTTATCCATAAATTATTCTAAATTAATAAATTGTTTTTTTTTGCAGTACCTGGGTCTTTGGAATGAATATGCCAAATATCCTTTCATCTTTGAAGCCGGCGGTAGATGTATCCAAGCTCAGTATGGTGCTTTAGCTGGCGACCAGGTTTCGGTGCTCAACACACAAACTACAAAACTGTGAGTTAATTCAGCTGTTTTCAGTTCTTCTTCACTTAAGTGTTCTTAATTGTTTGGTTGCACTTCTTTTCCAAAGAAATGTAAGGCAATCAATTGAAGGAATCGCAACAGTCGAAGGACCTGGCAAACTCTCCGTTCGCTTCAATGGCTTAGCCGGTGAGTATAAATATTATTTGTAGAAGTCTAAATGCGACAATAATAATGTCGAATTGCCATTATACCGGATTTCCACTGTGCTTTAAACGACAAAGAAATAATGACAAAGTTGCGGATTAAATTCATTTTTTATAACATTTCTTAAATGGCGCGTATCTAATGCCTAGTAGTAATTCATCATTGCAATTTTTGTTATTCAATGCCCAGTGCAAATCCGACATTATGTTTTTTTTACTACTAATTGATGATGCTACTTATTTGAAAAAGAGAATAAGAAATATGACAGACTCTCTAACTGTTTCCTACGTCTTTTTGTACTCATTCCAGCTCTTTCCGGTGATTCTCCTTATTGGGTTTTATCTACCGATTATACTACTTATGCCGTCGTTTACAGCTGCACAAACTTGGGAATTGCACATACAAGTAAGTCGATTATGTTTTACGAGCATAGGTATACATTTCTGATCTTTCGTTGCTCAGAAAACAATATGAAGAAGCAACAGTAATTAATAAGTTAAAGGCAATAGGACGCAACAGCTTTCAAGGAATGTGCTGCTATGTATGTACCTTTCTATATTCCTCTCAACACATGATTTGGCAACTATAGCCAAATATTATAACTACAACCAAATCATGTTTTGGGAAAAACATTTTAGTCGACATAACTAAACTCTTTTCACAGTGTATTTTGTGTTTAGTTAATATTTCAATGCCTACGATGGTTGCTACTATTCGGCGTCATTTATTGAATTTAGCAGGATCCATTTGTTCGTCATTCTTTAGTCAAATTGAGACTCCTTGATCCCTTGTAATTTCACTTTCGAGTATCCGAAGAGGCTATGTCAGTTACATCACTTCTGATTTAGATTTAAATATGCTCATGCCTTCGTCAATTCATTAGCTTTCTCATTGCCTTCGATGTTTGTATGTCCAGAAACGCAGGTAATATAGAATGTTATTGACTTAGACAATATGGTGAATTCCATTTTTCATTTTTCGAACGCTTAAAATTGGGAACCGGGACCGACTTCTTCAGAGTAGATCCACTCTCTCACGGTAGTCTATTTTGGATCCATCGGTGTAGCGAAGTATCTAGTCCCCCACAGCACTGGCACTGTGAGTCTGACTGTTAATTTCATAGCCACTTCTTTCAGATGCGATTGACAGAGGTACATATGTATAATCACAGTTGTATAGCGGCATCTTTGACAGGGAGAATATATTACGTATGCGATCCTACTCTTTGGCTTCGAGTTATCAAAGAGATACAAAATAGGTTGATGATGGATGTAAGGGTGGTGTAGAGATGGTAGACGTACTTAGTATCTGCGGTTTATTCACCCTATTCGGTGAAGCCAGCTGCAGGGCCTACAATAGGCAATTTACAACGAATCCTAACCCTTGCCTTATCTATCCTACCTATAGAACTTAGTGTACCTATATTCAGTCTGAGCCGTTAAATATCACGTATGGCTTTCAGTTTTTGTGTTTATAGCAGTCAGACCAACTAGTAATGTACATATATACTCGTACTTATGTATGTTAGATGTCATGGATTGAGCCCATTTTTCTGACACATGAAAGAACAAAAAAGAAACATGCATAGCTTTAGTAAATTCCATCGAAATCGCATGGCTGTGATAATCAGCTCTGCACTTAAAATATGTCAATTCCTTATAAATGACAAACTTGTGTTGCAGAAAGATTTCACTTTTTTTTCTACTGCGAACTAAGCATGTACATATCGTCGATGTTTTTGCAAAACCGCTTAAATCGCTTTAGTGGCAATTTGTTAAATATTGTAGTGATTTCGAAATAAAAAACAAAGGTATACTTTTTCTAGATACGGAACAATCCTAGGGGTTGAGAGCATTAAAATTCGGAGTTCACTTTTTCGCGTGCATTTTTGTGCCACCCTAGTGTACATACACACTTATGCAATTAAATATGTATGCAAACGCTTTTTACAACGCATATTCTAGCATTGCATAGATACATATAATACATACCTACATATAATTATTGTCTTGGCATAAATATTGCTATATTTAGAAATAAACAAAGTCTTACTTGAGGATACATATCGAGCCCTAAGCGCCAGAATAACGTAAGCGACATTTTTTTCAAAATTTTCTTTTTGATGCACAAATGCATCTAGATGCTCTAGGAATATTTCTGCATCAAAAAGAAAATTTCGAAAAAAATGTCGCTTACGTTATTTTGGCGGTTAGGGCTCGATATGACATTTGTATAGTTTTTTAATTTAAAGGTAGTTTCAAGTAGTCATTGTATTGGTGGAGTAATGATTAAATGAATATTATTTTAAGTCGTAAAACTTTGATTTTCATTTTTTTACAGAGGTTGTCTGGATCCTTACACGCGATCGCATTCCATCTCCAGCAGTCGTTAAAAAGGCAGAAGATGCAATTGTCGCGCAAAATTTGCCATTGAGTCCCTTGGAAATAACCGATCAATTGGATTGCGAATAAATAATTTGAAGCGATACAAATTTGGCATATTTCGAATATGAAAATGAGACTCGGACTAAGAAAAACATGTTGGCTTAGTAAAAATCTGTAGATAAATGTGTAAATATTGTTGACTATAAAATATAGTGTAAATATACTTGAAAAAAGCTTTGCAAAAACTCTATTTTTTATAACGGAGGACATTCGAATCCATTCGAATTCATAATTTAATATTTCGAAACTTTAAATTAAATAAACCGATGCAAAATTCTTTGTTATCACAGACAGGGTTGCCATTGACAAAAAAAAAATGTACCATTCACTTGAAAAAAATCTACCGAACCTGGAAAACTTCTACCAATAACTTTTTTTTTTTTAAATAAAGCAACACCTTTTTTTAAGTTATTTTAATAAAAACTATAGTTTTGTTATTTTTTAGTTATTTCAATAAGAATTCAGTGGGATCGTCAGTTCTAATCCTACTGAAAGAAGTCTGATGAGGAAATGTGGTGATTTCCGAAATAGCTATCACTTCTACAATTTTTTCAAATTATTGTTGCTTTTCCACAATAAGTTTTTCATTAAAAACGGAATTTAGAAAATGAAATTTTACTACATAGATACATTTTAACATTTAATTTCGCTCAGGTATTTATTTTAACAATTTTTCCACTTTTTTGAAAACTACTTAGGCCGGGACATGAAAAATTTCGTAGGCCGTAAAGTAAAAACTTTAGCCAACTTTTACAAATCCTTCGAGTGTTTTTATTACTGAATGGGTATACTTTCAGAAAATGTTAACAAAGTTCAGACTGGGATAGGCTTCTGTGAATATTCTAAACCCAAAATCAAACCGTCAAGTTGTAATCTAAGCCTTATAGTTTGCAATGCTACCAAATGGATGTTATAATTTTTAAACTGCACTGACAAAATATTGAAAATTTTACTTAGACTCTTAAAACCCATTGGAACTTAAAGCGCTCTGTGCAAAAATGTTTTCCTTTTGCTCTGTGTCTTATTTTTCTGATTAGCCATATCACGTGTCAGAATGTCACGTAATTGATTTTTATCACTTATTTAACTGTGAATTCATTATTAATGTCGAAAATAATTATTCAATCTGTGAATGGGTCAATGGGGTAGCATAACGAGTAGTATTCCTTTGAAGTTTGTTTATAGTAAAAGTGATTGCACTGACAATCATTTCGGCTATGGAAATATCAGCTGGAAAACTTTAGACAAACATACGTCCGTAATAAGTATGAATATATTTACATATTTACGCTGGTACTTATACAATAGAAATTTGTAAAACGAGATGCATTGATAGCCATCGGTTCTTTACAAATTGTTTATAATAAATACATAGATTTTTTTTTTATTAATCATTTTCGTTTTATTTGATTATGTATTTAATCAAATAATCAATTCCATTGGCGTTACGCGGCTAGACATTTAAGGCACATTGATGTTGTTGCTATTGCTCTTTATTGAATGTGGCTATAAATTATGCGCAAGTCGCATGAGGAGCTTTCAGTTGATTTCCGGCAGTGGCGCGTTCAACTTTTCAATTCTAAAACCTAATTAGCCAGGCTAGTTACGGAACTGTTTATTGTATTATTTTGACGCAATTAGGAGTAGATGTAAAAAAAAAATTGTTTTAATCCAAGGAACATCGTTTTTACAGTGAAAAAAAAAAATAGTGTAATAAGCGAAAAGATTAATGAAAATTAAAGGCTCAAACAAATATCATACATAAGTCAACCGGCCTTGTTTTCGTGCATCTCAAAGTGAAATAAAACGAAGAGTACTAAAAAAAATTGGAAGAAAGATTGAAATAAGTGAACAAAATGCATATCAAGTTCCAACTAAGGTAATTTAAAAAGTCACTTATCCAACAAGTTCTTAAAAAGTGTTAGGAATCAAAATGCATGACCTTTTAGAATGTATGCTAAAAGGCAGAGAGGAATCCATACAGCAGAAAATCGTCAGAAGGTGAACTGAATCCCGAAATTTATTTTATAGTTATATTAGGTTTGAGAAGGTTAGGTGCAATAGGTATCATTTATGGGACACTCTGAAAAAAGTTACCTAAAATCAACGCGATTTTCTAGCAATTTTAAACTTGCTTTTTGTCATACTAAAATTGAATGGACTATAAAACTGCATACTTAGAATTTTTTCTAAAAGATCTGAATAGAAACTTGCAAATAAGTGTGCAAAATTTATTGAATTTTCCTGAGTTTTGCAAAAAGTTTGAGATTTTATGGTTATGTTTTTTAGTGTAAAATGAATTATATTTTTATAAAAAATTATCGAAATTAAATTAGAATAAAAAACTTAGCATATATGTATTACGAAAATTTCACTGTGCCAATACTTTTCCCGACTACTGGTGACATGAAATGTGCTTAACCATATATTATGGTCTGACCAACCACAAAGTATTTTGTACGTAGGACTACCCGAACAAAGTTATTGGATATACCAAAGGAGTTACAGTGTTTATTAAATACCAAAATAACAATCAAGGTTTGTTGCATAAATGAATTACTGGTATTTTTTTATATTTATTTATATGTCAATTTAAAGAATAATAAAATCGTATAAATCCTAGTTGTTGTTATTACAGGGGCCACTTAGCCCTGCCTAGATCGGTTTATCCCTCAATAGTTGTCGTGAGAGTCAACTGACAGGAACCATACGAAGCCTGTTAGTTGAGTCTCACGAAGTATGCCATCCAACTGGATCTGTCCTTAGGAAGAGGGGCGTGTGTGGAGTCGTGAGGTGACTCTCTGCATGCCGGGCACTTATTGGTCACATGTGCATTTATCCTACTAAGATTGGAGTTCAGCCTGCTGCAGTAGCCAGAGCATAGTAGAGCTATAATGATGCGAGTCTCCCGAGTCTTCCGAGGTTCATGAAGCTCTGCCTCGTCTACGTCAGGTGGCTGTGTTCTCAAAACAGCATTCACAGGTCGGGAGGTTGTGTAAGTCGAGTTCGGACGTTGTCTTATGAACCTCTGGACTTCGTCTGTGAGTTTGTTTAGATGCCTTCTGACGTTCCTAGACGAGGGCTCTGTGGCAAGCTGGAGGGTTTTCGGATGCCCAAGGCTTTGTCTTTGTAGCCGGACGGCGACCACACGGGCGCTGAATAGTTTTGGATGTGTAACACATCTTGATTGAATGCGAATTCTTAAATATATCTAAATGCATATCTTTTACTTATTAGTCTTAATATTTTTAGTTTCGGCGCAGCATTTATGCTGTTAATCGCCCAACTGGCAGTGGCACAAGTACCATTTCCGCGCAGTTGTCCAGCGGTGAAAGTGCCCACAGATTTTAATGCTGATGCTGTAAGTAAATTACATGCATACATACATACATGCATATCTTCAAATAAAAAACAAGAAATAATTTCAAAAAAAAATTATTTTTTCCAGTACATGGGCACCTGGTATGAATATGCCAAATATCCGCATATCTTTGAAATCGCTAAACGTTGCATGTCTGCGCGTTACAGCAATAAAGGCAACAACACAATTGGTGTGTTGAATACATCGATTAATACAATGTGAGTATGAGAACCTGATTTTGTTTAAAAGTTTTGGAATGTAAGGTTCAAAAAATTGAAAAATAATGGTAGAGGCTTTTAAAAAATAGTATTTTTTGTAAAGATGGTTTTTACTTATATAATTAGCAAAATGTTACGAAAATGATCTTCAATTGCGATTAGTATTTTACGATTTATTCTCTTTTTTCAAATGTTCTTTTAATAAAAGTTGATTTCATTTTAATATTTTAGCACCGGTCACATAACAAATACCACAGGTGTTGCCCGTATGCTTGCTCCATCGCAAATAAATGTGCTCTTCAGCAAATTTCGTAAGTATTTTTCATAATTTAGGTAACGTGAGAACGAGGTTATAAAAGAAAGGCAAAATTTACAAAATTGGTTAATAAATAAGTAGTTGGGCACAAATGTTTTTTTTTTGTTCCTTTTAAGATATTTACATTTTCAAACGCTATGCCTCTTTGGTTACATATAAGAATATTACTCTTGATTTTGTCAAAAATTTGGTTACTGTTATCGTTGCATATAAAATATCTAATGATTTATTGTGCATTAGATCGTACCATAAAAAGTACGCCTTAGTCTAAAGTACTTTTTCAAGGCAATTCAGATCGTTTTTTTTGGGCCAATTTTTTTGATCGTGTTTCAACATTTTTCATTATATCTTCGATAGGTACGGTCGGATGTTAAAGTATAATATGCGGGTTTCTGGTCACTAGAAAAAATTGTTTGTTCCGCTCTTGTGCTTACCCTCCATATCTCAGTCCTAAACGCGCTGACGTACCACCCTAATGTTACTTAATTAAAACTCGCCAAAAATCATTAAACTTTTATCAATAAAGTATTTCGATACCTGGCAGCCCTAATACGAAGGCAGTTTTAAATTATTTTTGTTTTGGCTTAACTTGGGGGTCGCCTTTGTTCTAGTACTGTCCCAGCATATCTCAGTCATTAAACTTTTGCTAAAGAAGTAGTTTGATAATTCAAGTAAAACTATTTAAAACTATTTTTATTGCTGAATTTATTTGTCACCGAAAAATGTAAAAAGGCAACCTCTAGGTTTGGGAAAAAATGTTTATTTGCAAAAATATTTTTGATTTAGAGGTGTACGTAGAACTGTTTTTTTTTTGTTTTCTTATAAGGTGGTACGGACTTATGTACACATATTTAGACTTGTGAAACTTATAAAAGCATTAATATTTCAATTTGACTTTAACACCTGATTTTTGATTGTATTTGTAGCCAATTCCGTTGATATACCAAACTACATCGTACTTGGAACTGATTACAAGTCATACAGTGTGGTCTACAGTTGTACAAACATCACCGCATTTGCGCACACAAGTAAGTTGATAAAATAAAAAAAAAATACATATCGTTACCTTAATATAGAAAGGCCCTATCTAGCATTTATGTTCCTTAATGGAGTGATGAAAATCCTCACTAAAAAATTTAGTTCGTTTGCTCCAAATTCATTTAAAACCCTGTATTTTATTGAATACTGTAACTAATTTCATAGTGTAGGAGTTACAAAAAATGGATTTTGAACGAAGAGAAATTAAGGCGTTTCTATATATATTATGATAACGTTACCCTTTCGATCCTCAGTAAATACAGCTTTCCTTTTGTTTGTTCATCATTCATTAACTTTTTATAGAAATTTAGCATATTCTAGGTGGAAGTCCGATTTCAAAATTTTACAGAAATTTGTACAAACAAGTGCGTTCGGGGAAAAAAACATGTCAACATAGAGGGGTGCCATCCTAATAAGTTAATATTTTTAGAAAAATTTCGGATACACAGTCCATTCAAACAAAGAAAAATAACAATACCTGTTTAGACAAAAGGCATCAAATCCGTTAATCGCTCTAATTATGGTGCTGAAAAACAAAATTATTATGCAATCCATAAAACAATTATGCTCGTCGCAAATACATAAATTAAAGCGTGCCATAATTAATTTGAGCCATACGCAAATCATGTTCTCATACGTACAGGTACTGTAATACAAATATATATACATACGTAAACACGAATGGTTTGAGCCGACTCACATATCTACATACTCATGTGTATACATATCCATATGTATGTGCCATTGTAATTGATACAAAGTGATGATAACGCGGCGATCCGTCGCATTTGGTAACTCTTCCGCATTCCCTTTTCTGTACATGCACGCCATTCGATTGTTTGTACAGTAGAAAGCATACGAATCGTACTTTTTAAATGAAATCAATTCAGAAGTTATGCCGAGCATGCAACAATTTTTAGAAACGAAGTTCTTAAGAATACTCTTTCAAGAGGACGCGATAAAAAGTGGATAGAGGTTGTGATGATTTGAAAGGTAGCTTTTTCCAATATATATGACCATTAGGGTGGTAAAAAAATGCATGGGAAATAGTAAAGTTTTGTGTTTTTTTATTTTTAAATCAAAAAATATTTAGAGGTCGCTCAAAGCGCGCAAAATTGTCCATGCATTTTATATGAGGGGAAAACTACTTTTCGCAAAAATGGCATAAAATTCTTGAAAATCATAATTTTTTGATCGGAAAACTCTACTTCTCTTCAGAAGACTACCAGTAATAGTACTCAATTGTTTATTTTACTATTTTTTAATGCTAACGATTTTTTATTGCATTTTTTGTGGCTTTTGGGGGTCTTATAAAAATAGTTAGTAACAAAAAATGCTTAAATAAACCATTAGATATTGTTATCTGAAGTCTCTTCAATAAATAGAAACAAGGTGTTCTGCCCAAAAAGTTTTAATTTTCAAGAATTCTATACCATTTCTACCAAAACTATTATTTAATTAAAATTCCGGCTTTACTTTTTTTGAACACCCTAATCTACATACATAAATGTATATAAACTTAGCGAAACAACATAATGAAAGAAATGCCGCATATACCCATGAATTTGCCGTTTTTTCCGCTAATTAATTGTGTAAAAAATAATTTTGTCAAAGATAAAAGGCTGGGCTTTGTATCCGAATTTGCCGTTCCAAAATAAGCTAGTTTACTTTTGAAAAAAATAATAAAAATTTTCGGAAACATTTTTTTAAGTGTTCATTAATTTTTAGAACAAAAGATGATTGTGTTTTTATGAGCAGTTGTTTTTCATGGCAGAATACACTCGGATGTTTGACATTGCCTGCCGAGGGGCCGATCGCTATCAGAAAAAAATATTTTGTTTTTTTGTATTCTGCTGTTGGGTTGAATTGGGCTTGAACTCAGGCCCTGCAGAATAATGGTAGCGCGCACTGCCAGCCACTGCTTAATTTAGTGGCCAATGCTTTTTTAAGTGCTTTTTATTTGCTCATAACTCTACTAAATTAACTATTCTTTCTAAATATTACGATACTTTTAATCAGATATGCAAATACTTTTCACTTTCAGAACTACTTTGGATAATGACCCGCGAACGAAAGCCTTCACCTGAAGCTGTGAGTACAGCTAAGAAAATCATGGATGACAATAATTTACAACAATCGTTCCTACTGATCGCCGATCAAGAAAATTGCCCAGAGGTGTATCCCAGTTATGGCGTGAATATACATTTTGGAGGTGATAACTCTAACACCAACAACAATGCTAATAAAATCAACAAAACCACCAACAACCAAGCGGATGCAGCCGACGATGTTATTTTCGTCTCAAAGCCCATAATTGCTACGGCCACAAGCACCCAAAGTCCCACTCCAGCTGACATAGATGAATTGGATACCACATCGGAGACGGCGGCCAATGTTATTGAAATGGCATGAGAGTTGTTTAGGCGCATTTGGCAGCGCATCGTCGACATGGTGTCGTGGTTCTTTGCTTTGGCTTAAATGAGTTTTTTGAATTTTTATACAAATACTTTTATCACGAGCCTTTTTACGCCTTCTTGAGGTTGATATTTTATTGCACTAAGTAAAAAGAGTATTATTTAGATTGTATTTAGTAGTGTTAAGTATCGTTTAATAAAACAAAAACATAATTTTTGAAGTCGTTTTTCGAATTTATGCACAACTGAATCTGCCTATTTTTAGTTGTCTTTGTGCGAAGACGAATGTTTGGTGAAACACGATTTCGGGAAAACTAATTTTGTATAGATTAAACTAGTACTGCCTACGCTGTATTGGATAAACCGGTATAGCCTGGACCAAACAGGTCTGGCATATGCCCGATAGGAAATAACAGTTAAGTCTAGGCTGCGCGCGGACATAAGCCAGATCACTTTGACCCAGGCCATACCAGTTTGTACTATAGAGTGTAGGTAGAAATAGTTTCGCTTAGACAAAACTAGTTTGTTCGAAACTGTGGCTCGACTGATAACATATACTTAAGCTCGGATTATGAAGGAAAAAATGTGTCTTCGAAAATATTATGGTGAAGGCCAACTGATGCTAGTCGCAGTATACATACATACATATACAGCAAATATAAAAACCTCCCAAAATGTCTACTCAAACAGTGAGTCTTATCTCGATAAACATTACTAATATGTGGGTCAAACTCGATGGTTTACTACGTCTTGGCAATCGTTTGAGAAGGTTGAAGCCTACATAGAAAATTCCTATAAATTCGGTCCCATTTCCATTAAGTATTTAAACCTCACTTTGAACATATTTGAGCAAAGTAAAACTATTTGCCAAAATACCTGAACATACATATCATGGCGTACAATATCCAACCAGGCATTCCAATTTCCCAACAAAATAAAACTATACGATATGTTATACTTAACTTGAAAATTAGAAACTTTTACCAATACTGTGGCCGAAACAGCTGGTTTAATGACGTTTATGGTTAAATGAAAGCCATTCAATCTGGCTCAAGTTAAACTTTGCTGAACTCAACTGAAATAAATTGGCGAGAAACTAAGATTTTTGTTTTGCTAAAATGTCTGCGTACACTTATGTATGTAAATGTATGTATGTATGAGTGCAAATGACATTACATATTGTGTACAGAAAATTCGGCCTAGAACTGCCTGACTAAACGAATGCTAAAGTGATTTACCTGTGTCCAGTGTAAATGATACGACTTTTTTTCAAATAGCCTACTAAAGAGAAAATTCTAGAAAGGTGTTACAAATTTTCGACAAAATTTTTCTAGGCACCTTTCGCTTTAAAAATCAGAAGTTGGTTCGAAAAATTTTGTTTCACACTGTTAATAGCTACGTGAAAGCAAAACTTCTTGATGAAACAACTTCGCTTGGCCTTTTCGATCAAGACACGTCAAGCAGCTCAAGCTTACATACATACAGTGACTCAAACAAATTACCACGTGTTGATTTTCTTCTAATACTCGTAATGTTTTTTGAGTTAAATTTTGTTTGTGGTTTTTATATGAAAATATCGCCTAAGCTTTAACCAAAACCGTGTAAATCACAGTTTCAAACTTTTTACAAAATTTAGGAAAATTCAACAAATTTTCATCAAAATTTCATTTATTTATTTTTTTATAATTTATTCTGAATTTTTAGAAAACTTTTGGGTATTCAGTTTTATAGCCCATACAATTTTAGTCTAATGAGGTGCAAGTTTCCAACGGCTAAAAAATCGCGTTGATTTTTGAGAATTTTTTTTGGTGACGGATTTTTGCACTTTTTTTCATATAAGTAAATTTTGATGAAAATTTGTTGGTTTCCTAAATTTTGTATAAAGTCTGAAACTGTGATTTATACGGTTTTGGTTAAAGTTTAGACGATATTTTTATATAAAAATAACACAAAAATTTAGCTGGAAAAATATTACGAAAATTTAAAAAAAAACGTGGTCATTTGTTTGAGTCACTGTATGTGCTTGATAACTAACTAAATACATACATACATGTACTTTGGAGCTTTGCAGCTTATATGTGTGTTCTTA